CATTCGCAGAGGTCAAGCCTCCAGAGAATGTGCTCTTCGTTTGCAAGCTGAACCCTGTTACTCAAGGTATTTGTCTTTCCCACATTTTTGCAGAATGGGTTGCCGCTAACTGTGAGTTCAGATGAGGATCTTCAACTGATCTTCAGTCGGTTCGGGCCGATTCTGTCTTGCGAAGTCATCCGAGATAAACGAACCGGTGACAGTCTACAGTATGCTTTTATCGAGTTCGAAAATCAGAAGGATTGTGAACAGGCTTACTTCAAGATGCAAGGAGTTCTGATCGACGATCATCGTATACATGTTGATTTTTCGCAGAGTGTGAGTCTGATTACGAGCACTTCTCTTTGAACAGCGGTCTCTAATAAGGACATTACAGGTATCAAAGCTGTCAGAAAGCTGGCGAAATGCTACCATATCTAAACGCAGCCAGAGAGGCGGCTTCGGTGGCGTAGCTGAGCTTGAGAAGAAGCGGCAGTATCGGGCGACTGACAACGTCCGCGAGCGGGATGGTTATGGCATGGTGTTCGATAAAGGTGAAGCTAAAAGACGGCCGGCTTCTCGAGAGCGACGTGACAGTCGAAGTCCCAAAAGAAGCTCATATCGGGACAGAAAAGACAGTCGTAGCCCGAGACGGGACTCGCACCCGAACCGGTACCGCGGTAGATCTGACAGTCGAAGTCCTCGGCGAGAAGACTCCTATCGCGATAGAAATCGTGAGAGGCCCTACAATGACGAGCGGCATGATCGTCGCGATGATGACCGATATCGAGAAAGGCGACGTCGCTAATGTCCGTTTTGTAAAGAGATGAACTATTGGAAACCCTATACGAGTCGCCCTACATCAAGGGCAACCTGGTATCTTAAGAATTGATGAGGGCACTTGATGTCTGGAGTTTTGTTCGTAACGCGGAATGTAATTTTAGTCTTCATATCAAATCAATTGACCCGACCTATATTAACTCGCTCATCGATGTGGAATTGTACCTTGACCCCTAAGGGCCTCGTCTTCTTAGAAAGCATACGTAGATACGTCGTGTGGCACTAGAACTAGTAACCTTCTTTTCTCCTATTATTTGTCTATTGGCCGCTAGTCGGTGAAACTGGGTCTGCCGATGGTTTGCCCCGCCCTGGAGGACCCAGAGGTCCAAAGAGCCATTCAGGGAGCTCGAATCGAGACAGTTGGAGCTGATATTTATATCATTCGTAGGACTGGGTCGGCCATGCCAGCTAAAAATAATAGCAGGGAGATCAAATGGTTTCGTCTTCCTGGCGGTCAGCGGACGGTGAAATACTGAGGGGTCGATAGAAGTTAAAGACCGAACTTCCCAAGCTTCAGCTCAGGTTTCAACTACGCCCCGCACTCCTCGAAACAAACCCTCCCCTCTCTTTCTCTTTCTCTCCTTACTTCTCCTGCTCAACATTCCCCTTCATCTGATACCCTTTGAGGACTTAATCAAATCATCAATATGGCCGCAGCTATCAAAGAGACGGTCTCCAACTTCATGGAGAGATTCCATGGTCATCCAGAGAACGTTCCCCGTGAACCATCCGCTGAAGAGTTGCAGCAGCTTAGACAAAAGTACACCGATGCAGGCCAAGGACATGTCTTCGCATTCGTTGGTGAATTACAAACCGTCGAAAAGTCCCAGCTCTTTCACCAGCTATCGAACTTCGACCCTATCCGAATTAATGAACTCGCCGACAAGGCTCTGAACCCTCCCAAAGCCGAAGATGGACCCGCTTCGCTTGAACCTCTGCCGGACGTCGCCACTGCATCGATTCTCGACTCAGATCCCAAGGATATCGAACAATGGTATGAGCAGGGGCTCAAACTTGTGGCGGGTAACAAGGTTGCGGTCGTCCTGATGGCAGGTGGACAGGGAACCCGTCTGGGAAGCTCCGCGCCGAAGGGCTGCTTCGACATCGGGCTTCCTAGTCGCAAGTCGCTTTTCCAGGTCCAGGCGGAGAGGATCGCTAAGCTCCAGCTACTTGCTCAGAAGATTTCAGGCAAAGAGGCTGTCATCCCTTGGTATGTCATGACCAGTGGACCTACCCGCAAGCCCACAGAGGAGTTCTTCGAACAGCACAAATACTTTGGATTGAACAAGAGCGATGTCATCATCTTTGAGCAAGGTGTTTTGCCATGCATCTCCAATGAGGGTAAGATCTTGATGGAGAGCAAGTTCAAGGTACGTTTCACAGTCGCATACTAAAGTTTTGCTGCGGTGGTTGGTTTCTGACAGGGAGAAAATAGGTCGCTGTTGCTCCTGATGGAAACGGTGGTATCTACCAGGCCCTTCTTACATCCGGTGTGCGAGAGGATATGCGCAAGCGGGGTATTGAGCATATTCACACCTACTGTGTCGATAACTGCCTTGTCAAGGTGGCGGATCCTGTGTTCATTGGTTTTGCCGCATCGAAACAAGTTGATGTCGCTACCAAGGTAGTCCGGAAGCGCAATGCTACGGAGTCGGTCGGTCTGATCCTGCAGAAGAACGGCAAGCCCGATGTGGTCGAGTACTCTGAGATCGACAAGGAGACGGCGGAGGCCAAGGATCCCAAACAGCCTGACGTGCTCAAGTTCCGCGCCGCTAACATTGTCAACCACTACTACTCCTTTAAATTCTTCGAATCCATCGAAACTTGGGCCCACAAACTGCCTCACCATGTTGCCAGAAAGAAGATTCCTTGCATCAAGGAGGATACTGGCGAGTTCTTCAAGCCAGAGAAGCCCAATGGTATCAAGCTGGAGCAGTTTGTCTTCGATGTCTTCCCCATGACTCCCTTGGAAAAGTTCGCTTGCATCGAGGTTCGTCGTGAGGATGAGTTTTCGCCATTGAAGAACGCGAAAGGCACTGGTGAGGATGACCCCGACACCAGCAAGCGGGATATTATGAGCCAGGGACAGCGCTGGATTGAGAAGGCGGGAGGTGCTGTCATTACTGAGGGCGATGCCGTTGGTGTTGAAGTGTCTCCATTGATCAGCTATGTAAGTTCCTCCCTTCCCCCTTCATTTCCGGTCACTTTGAAGAATCCTTGCGCTGATTAGGGCAAATTTCTATAGGGCGGAGAGGGTCTTGAATTCCTGAGAGGGCGCGAGATCAAAGCACCAGCCTTCATTGAAAAAGAAGAATAAAAGAGCCATGATGTTCTTGTTATCATTTCCTGTCAGGTTATTGATAGGTATATCTTCGTCATTTGTATCAGTATGTCATATACAGAACCGAAGCCTCTCGCTCATATGCGGGTCACGCTATCCGGTATGCTGGATCACTGACGGCAGCTGAGGAGCCTCCTACCTAGAGATTTGCATCCCTTTCCAGTTTCCATTAGCCGGTTCAAAGGTTGCATTATGAGAATATCCCTAGTCTACTTTGCATCACGATTAATCTCCCAGGAATGGAGTACATCCGCTAACAGCAGCTGCTTGTCAGTAGCAGCAGTTGTGTAATCTCAGAATCCTTAGCCGAAAATAAATACAAGCAGTTACTTTACTCTGACAGACGTATCCGCGAGGTATTCCTCTCAATATTAATATAAGACAAACCAAAATATATACTAGTGCTTCTCCATATAAAAGCGCAGAGAAGCTCTATCTCGCGTTAGCTAGGCAGAGCATCAGGAACGTGTGCCTCAGGCCGTGCGCAATCCGGGGGGTTTGCAACCTTACGCAATACGGAAAAGCCCGGGAGCTAGATTTTCATGTTTTGCCCTGAGAAGAAAAAGCCCTGCGAAAAGAGCATGGTCGCTGTCTTGCTTGGCTAAATCGCTTGATTCAATTCAATAACTATCCTTTTTTACCTCTCCTTGTGCATTATCAGGGAATATAAGGTTCTTTCCATCTTTCTTTTCGTTCCTCTTGTGGTTTGGAGGGATTGGAGTGCTGTGAGGGTTCATTTTGAGCTGCATTGTGAGTTAAACCTTTTTTTGTGTGTCTCTCATTCGGTGTTGGTCGCTTTTTCTTTGTCAGCCCACTTTTTTTGAGTCGAGGGAATAGTGGGCTGTTGGAAGCGCTGCGCATCCTCCAAGGTTCTCAAGCTGACAGCCAAATAGACCTATTGAGAAGGAGATTGAAGACTTTTGGTTTCTGAAGAGTGAGTCTATTAGATAAATCGTCTTCCGCGACCCGGTCCTTGTTTGGCGTGTGTGTGGACTGGCTCGTCGCTGCTATGTTCCCTTCGGAGATAGTGTCGCATTGTCGTTGACTTGCCAATCCCATATTGAGAGATTGGACAACGATGAGTCGGTCCCGACAGCATACACTGCACTTTGTTATTACAATAAAGTTTGATATTGCCTCCGAAGCTTCGAAATGCTATGCATCATACATCGGACACCATCAATGCGCAACAGAGGCCTTCAGCAGTGGGGTTTCTGCAAGTGGCATCAGCGGAGCTGACGGAAGATTCATTATATAGCTTAAACTACCGGAAAGATGTTGCTGTCTCGTCGTGCCTGCTACAAGTGTGGCAACATCGGTCACTACGCTGGTTAGTGCAAAGCCGGAGGGAAGAATTTTGGACTAGGACGACTGTCGCTGACTGACGTAGAGGTCTGCTCCTCGTCCGAGCGTCTCTGCTACAACTGTAAGTGGTTTGAATTAAGGAGGGCGTATTTCAGAATACCTTGCTAATGTGTCAATCCCTGTCAATTAGGCAAGCAACCTGGTATGTACCTTGCGTGCTACCTGCCCCCGAACCATATGTCTGACCCCAAACCATAGGACATGAGTCCAGCAGCTGCCCGCGTCCTCGTACTACCGAGAGTAAGATCGTCCAATCTCAGGCTTTGGAAAGCGCAAGGATGTTGACTCATCGATAATAGCTAAGCAGTGCTACAACTGCCAGGGGCTAGGCCACGTTCAGGCCGATTGTCCTACTTTGCGTCTCAACGGTGGAGCTAACGGCCGCTGCTACAACTGCAACCAACCCGGCCATCTCGCTGTACGTCGCTGTCGGCCATACTCTCTCTCTTCTACCTTTTGAATTCGGCTGATTTAGATGGTGCTCCAGCGCAACTGCCCCGCTCCTGCTTCTGGTGCCGGTCGTGGTGTCGGTGCTCCTCGCGGGGGATTTAACGGTGGATTCCGCGGTGGATATGGTGGTTACCCTCGTGCCGCTACTTGCTACAAGTGTGGTGGTCCCAACCACTTCGCTCGTGACTGCCAAGCTCACGCTATGAAGTGCTATGCTTGCGGCAAGCTTGTAAGTGCTCTCACATGCATGGTCTCTTTGATCAAGGCGGTAGCTGACACTCTGAAGGGTCACATCTCCCGTGACTGCACCGCCCCCAACGGCGGTCCCCTGAGCTCTACTGGCAAGGTCTGCTACAAGTGCTCTCAGGCCGGCCACATCTCTCGCGATTGCCCTAACAACGAGGCTGCTAACCAGCAGCCTGCTGAGTCGGCTACTGCTCCTGCTGCCGCTGCCCCCGCTCCTGCCGCTGCCACTGCCGCCGCTGAGGTCAGCGCCGAAGCTGCACCTGTTCCGGCCCCTGCTCCCACCGCCGCTGTCGCTTAAACGAACACCTTTATCTCGTCTACGAATCCCGCTGTAAGGGAATCCCATTTTTACTCCTCCTTTTTGTATTAGGGTTTTGCGGAACTCGGTCTTGATATCTCCTTTCTTTTCCTCTCACGTTTCTTCCATTGCATATATTATGCCCCCGATTTCAGGTTTCTCAGCACCGGCCTTTTTTATCACTATTATGTATACGACGAACAAAAGTTTCACGATGTCCCTAGGTTCCTGACGACTTGGATCCTACGCATGGCTCAAGATTCTCATGATTGGCGTCTATTGTTCTCCACGGGTATCTTTCTCATTTGAATCATATGGTGCGGCAAGGAAAGAAGGAGACGAGGCGAGGCGAAAGGTAATTGAGCGCCGGAGAGACATTGGTGGACCGGAGTGAGCGTGTTGATATGTATAAGAAGGGTTGACAAGATGGTACGGACGATTTTTAATGTGCTGAAGATTGTGAAAGACAAGGTCCCTGGCGCGGTGTGGCGACCTCATCTGCTCGTACTTACTGCCTCTCTTATGCTTATCCAGATGGATAGCCGAAAGAAGAAAAATCCAGAATCAATTAACAGATGAAACTTCAACTTCACCGAAGTGCTGCTCTTCCTGCTATGGTACGTCTTTACGAGGAGTCTTTACTCTGCGTTGGCCTTGGACGACTCCTCCACTCCCACTGCAGCCTCAAGTCTTGAGGATGATCTACTCCGTGCTCTGCTCGTCTTTACTTTCATCATTAGTACTATTTGAGACTTGGCTGCTCTGTATTGAGTTTGTTCTGCTCTTGTAGGCCGGTTTCCTGTTACGGCCAGACCCCGTGACAACCGGTCTGCTTCGCGTCTTCTGCTTCCTCCTAGTCCTATGCCAGATCTCTTCCACACTCTCCTGCTAATCCTACTATATATCGTTGGTGTTATCATCCTATCATTATCTTCTTCTAAGTAGCCATTAGGAGCACTTGACAAGTCATCATGCCTGAATCGGAATCAGGGGATGAGTTTAACGACGATGTAGAGTCTCCTTCCCTTTTCCTGTCTTGCTTGCTGAAACCAGGTCGTGTTATATGCGACCGATGTGCTAGGTCTCAACAGACGGTTAACTCTTAGTCACTCCAGGCCTTTATCGTCGATATCGACAGCATTCAGGCTCATGGTACACCTTGTCCCACCGGTGCACATTCCCGCTCGAGCTGACTGTGCTTGAAGGTATTGGCGCTGCAGATATCACTAAGCTCAAGGCAAATGGTTTCTATACTGTTGCTGTAATGCCCCCCCCCCCCCACCTCTGCTTCGTCTATGCTGTTGTGTTGTCCTCATATGAACTCACTCTCTTCAAAGTCGGTTCACGGTGCCACCCGGAAGACGCTTCTTAAGATAAAGGGTTTCAGCGAGGTCAAGGTCGAGAAGATCAAGGAGGCTATACAAAAATGCTTGGTAAGGACTACTATAAAGCTTCCTGCACTGAGAGTCACAGTGAGAAGCTCGTCTGACATTGCTTAGCCAGCTGCATCGGGTTTCATAACTGCTATGGAGTTAAGTCATCAACGCAAGCGAGTGGTCAAGATCTCAACGGGAAGCAAGCAGTTTGATTCAATTCTCGGAGGGTGAGTTACCGGGATTGTACCGGACTTGCACCTCTCTGACTTCTCCCTAGTGGTTTCCAGAGTATGAGTATCAGTGAAGTCTTTGGAGAATTCCGTTGCGGTAAAACGCAACTGTCTCACACAATGTCTGTCGTCGCCCAGCTTCCTAAGGAGATGGGTGGTGCGGATGGTAAGGTCGCCTATATCGACACTGAAGGCACCTTCAGACCAGAGCGCATCGCTCAGATCGCAGAGAGATTTGGCGTCGATCCCGATTCTGCTCAGGAAAATATTGCTTACGCTCGAGCTCTGAACAGCGAGCATCAGCTGGAACTACTCAATACTCTGAGCAGAGAATTCGCTGGAGGCGAGTACAGATTGTTAATAATCGACAGTATCATGAACTGCTTCCGAGTGGATTACTGCGGACGAGGAGAACTCGCGGACCGTCAGCAAAAGCTGAACCAGTTCTTGATGAGACTTGCACATATGGCTGAAGGTTTGTAGTTGCCAATATCCTGCACGATACTTTACAGAACTAATCCAGATATTTTCTCTCTCAGAGTTCAACGTCTGTGTCTTGATGGTATGTTTACTTCCTCTTTGCAGCGAACCAAGTCTCACATCAATCTGTAGACAAACCAAGTCCAAAGTGACCCCGGCGCCAGTGCTCTATTTGCGGGAGCTGATGGCCGTAAGCCTGTTGGTGGTCATGTCCTTGCGCATGCATCCACAACACGAGTCCTCCTTCGCAAGGGTCGTGGTGAAGAACGTGTGGCAAAGATACAGGACTCTCCAGGTTTGTCTCTTCCGACGCTTTCAACAGAGCTGGCCTGACCGTCTAAAGACTGCCCTGAGCGAGAGGCGACCTATGTGATTACCAACGGTGGTATTAATGATCCAGACAAGGTCTAAAATCTGAGAGTGGTGGCCTCAATGCATAGGAGAAAAGATGATACGATTACAATGCGGGATATCACGCCCAGCGAGGGAGAGCGGCAATTGAGATGGAAGGCAGAAGCTTGTTAAAAATATTGTTGATTTCCGGAGTTTAAAGCAAAGCCATGTATGAGATCAGACGTTAGATTATTATGAGACATCCTAGGTATATTTGTTCGAGTGGATCTACCATGTGCAATTCCAATGTAGTTATGGGTTGTCGATCCTGCATGGTACTCCGCCTAGTCTCCGCCTTCCAAAATTATTTTTAATTTTCCGCTAGAGCAAAACTTCTCAGTAACCAAAAAGAAGGCATTTCTTCGCCGCGCAATTATCTCGTTTGTAGCGACAGCCGGTCGCCCATCTTTATCAGACTACCAAAATGAAGAAGCAGTCTCTTGAAATAGCAGGTTACGCAATCCTGCCTGTTCAACTCCCCGAATCACGAGCGTTTCCAAAGCCTGCAACACATTACCTCTACCTCCGGCCTCACGAGCCTCGCATTCCCGACGCCGATTCTCCCCGTTCTCTTTTTGTCGTCAATGTGCCGATAGACACAACCGAGCTACATCTGCGCCACTTGTTCGGTACACAGCTGTCCGCGGGTCGAGTCGAAAAAGTTCATTTCGAGGGAGTTCCGACGAAGAAAGGTTCCGTGTCCATTACACAGGGAAGCGTCTCGAAAAGCAGGAAGCGGAAGAGGGTTACGGTAGACGAACTGCAGGACCAACCCGACGAGATTGCGTTACCATCAACATGGGACAGAGAATTGCAAAAAAGCGGTGCTCACGCCGTAGTAGTCTTCGCGGACAAGTCGAGCATGGAAGCCAGTCTGAAAGCTGCGACCAAGGCCGCAAAGAAGGGCGCGAAGATTGTTTGGGGAGAAGGCATCGAGGATAGATTACCTGCGCTGGGGCTCCAGCGGTATCTCAACCACAGTCAGGCCTGCTACCCGAATCGGGCTGACCTGCTTCGCACGGTGAACGACTTCATGACTGTGTTTACGCAGGTTGCGGAGGCTCGTAAGCGTGAGGAGGCTCGCAGGGCTCAGGAGCCGGATGAGGATGGGTTCATTACAGTCACGAGTGGGCCGAAGCTTACGTCTATTGCGCATGAAGAAGAGGCTCGGGCACTGGTTGAGAAGCAGAAGAAGAAGCAGGAGGGCCTGGAGGACTTCTACCGGTTCCAGTCGCGTGAGAAGAGGAAGGAGAGACAGAACCAGTTGCTGAAGAAGTTTGATGAGGACCGGAAGAAATTGGAAGAAATGAAGAGACGCAAGGGAAAGATTAGAGTGAGTCATTTCCCTCGCTCGTATTCTGGTACCTTTTGACTGACTACTCTGCAGCCTGAGTGATTTCCCCTGTTCAATATGTTCAACAAAATATCTCGTTTAGCATGGCGTTTAGGACGGTTGGGCCCGAAAAGTTTTCATTCGCAAGATAGAGAGGGTAAAGGACTGAAGGTTATTGAGTACATGTGAGTCAATTCTTCTCCGATTCTTTCATTTTCCGCTTGCCCGATTCAATGATGAGCACGCTGGGGCCAGAGTAGCAAGACTCATTTCGATGTCATGCAATGCCTTCGAAAACCAGCGATAAATGAAATCTTCTCACCTCTGAAGAATGGAGCCTTTTCTCCATATTGGCCTTCTTCCTCGGCACATCCATCACAGTATGCTAACGCGTTTTATCCGGATAGATGTATACATTCTTGAGGCTTTTCTGGTAAATATTAGATACCTTAGGACGTTCGAGAAGAAATACAACGCGGGATCCACCATGCCGGCGATTGTTGAAGATTATTTCGTACTGGGCTGCTTCATCCTTGCTCCTATACAAGCCTTACTATAGATACCTATCCACCCTTGTTTTGAGACCGAGCGACTCAGACCCTGCCGTCTTTCTCATCCCATGTAGACATGATAAGCCAGCCACATGGGAGTTGCGCACAGACCAGTTGAACAGAAAGGCTTGGCAATGACATCTTCAACCCAACATCATATGACCGATCAAAGGTGTCTGAAGCATTATCGCCAGCTACGTACTTTCGCTTGTGAGCTACGGACTGTCCAATTTAAACGAGAATAATGAGAGTGGCGTATCGTATTTCTGGTTGAGTCATATACGTGGTTGAACGGAATATCAGCCCCGAGGAACGAGGACATATATTGAAGCTTGCACCTTGAGCCTACCATTGTTCAGAACTACAGCATTCAATATAAACTATTCGCGAGAGTTGGAGTGTTATTATAGCCTACTCAAAACATCACCGTCAATGGCATCAACCGCAGCTGATGGCCCTGGGGCAGGGGGCTTCATGCAGCCATCTATTCCATCACCTGCACCGTCATCTATGTGGAGCTCAACAGCGACTCCCGTGCTCCCAAAGCCAAGGACCCATCCCCTCAAGGCAGGGTCGATGAAAGAGACGACCGTCATCAATCATATTGACACGCAACTTTTGAAAATCAATCGGCGGCACGCCAAGAAGTTCAGCAGCACATACGACGACCAGTCACAGCAAGACCCGGAAAGAGGCTACGAGAGCTTCCAGGAAGTAGCGAAGGATATCGAAGGACTCATTGATGTTCTCTGGGTTAGCGGAACACGTATGTCTTTGTCGAAATGATCGAATAAAACGAAGTTTCAACTGACGGTTTCCCAGCATCGCTGCAAATACCGTACATGATATCTCTGGCTGTGTTGGTCAACTCGTATCTCCCGGATTTTCCGTTCTCGCCCAAGCCGGCTTTCCGCCTATTGAGAAAGCTGGACTCAGTCTTTGCTTCTCTGCTGCTTGGGGAAGATGTTGAGTCCGGGGCTCCGCTGTCTGGGTTCGAAACTAACCGGAACCTCGTCTCCATGACGGAGAAAGTGCGGATTAAGAGTATTGCAGAGACATGTCGGGTTGCTGTTGTGGAAGCCAGGGAGAATGACAAGTCCAAAGAGGGGGAGGACGACGACGACGACGAGAACTCGAGTGATGATGAAGATGAGGATGAGGATGGTGCTTATGGTACGGAAGAGTACGAAAGTATTGGGAGGTGGGAGATGGAAACTGCCAAGGTCTACGAGAGGACGATTGAACTGCTCGGGGATGAATTGGGGAAAGCGGGCGAGTTCTGCGATAGTAATTTTGCAGCTGGTGAGTCGAAAGAAGCATAGGTGAATTGAAAGATATTGCACTCGCTTTTCTAGACAGAATTCGAATTAGTAATTAGTAGACTGGTCTCAATATGTCCAATTCAACCTGGGGTCGCCTGGCCCAGTGAGTGCTCGTTTTTGGGAATGTACTCGGTTGAATCTGATAAGCTACGCTAAACAACGCTCGCTATCGACACAAGCCGGCGCAATCCGCTTTCTTCCTTTTCTTAGCTCAGTCGCTACCGCTGTTCTCCCATGATTCAAGGAAATCGCGTACCAAACACTTGATGGAGCTGGTGCCAGCAACGAAAAGAGTTTTCTAGGAGAGTGGACAAGACCACCCCCCACTTCGTGAACAAAGCGAGATTTGAAAGTTTCAGTATGGTTGGTTGAGAAAGGCAGGACACCTTCTATAAACCGTTTCAAAGCGTTCCAGCTGTTATGAGAGTATATTCGACTGTCCCTAGAGCAAGGAATACTCGAGGTTGATATTTTAAATCCCATCAGTATATTCTATCTTTCTGGTGTCATTGTTGGGTGGTGTGATGACTGATTAAGTGTCGGCTTGTTGGACAACATTGTAGTGTATCCGTCCCATGGCTCGATTATTACATTACAAATGTGCTTTGGATGGATGATCTGTCGGATGAAAGATGGCCCTGAGGAGCACGATGACTTTTGCCTGAGTCGGAGTCCGTATAATATGTAGACAAAATCCTTGGAAGCTGTGACAAGTTGGCAGTGCGTCCAAGAAGCAAACCTGAGGCAGCTTAAATTATGACAATACATACCTTAGTACCTAATGTTCCATGTGTAAGGTACCTTAGGTAGGCTGGTACGGAACGCATACCTAGGTTACGGACAGACGCATCCAAGACCAGGTGGGCATTTGCATGAGTTGAGGGTCGAAATATCTGCAAGGGGCCTTGCATCCTGGGGTACGAAATTGGTATTCCACCCACTATCTACAGACTTAGTACGAGTTATCTAACGCAATTGTGGCATGGGAAAGGATGCTCAATGTCACAGGTGACTTCAGAGTTGATTTTTCCATTGAGAATGGAAGAATAAGCTATGCCATGAACGTTCTCTGAATGTCAAACTCAACCCTCCGTACGGGGTGATGCTCACGGCTCAGTAAGGCAGTGGTCGGTACAGTCTGCAAGGACGACAATCTTAGAAGTAGGGATGTCATGCATCCACCACAGTTTGAACGGAATTCGAAGCCGAATGCTGTGCTTGTGTAATGTCCCTTACTCATGTTCAAGTCCCTACTGCTACATGACATTGATATTTGTGGTGTTCAATTAAAAGCCGGAGAGGCCATCGCGTATGTATCAATCCTGAACTGACAGGGGTCGCGTCGCGTACGCGTGCGACGAAGTAAGAATTGAGAAGGCTTCTCGAATGTCAAAGAACCGAGTTACGACACGGCTTGGGATTTGATACTAATCATACTACTAAATACTAATATCAATTGCGGAGCACAGATATGCAGGACTATGAATCCTTGTACTGGAAACTCATGAGGCTGAAGTCTGTAACTCCAAAGAACGCCAATCTCTACTTCTTTGGCTGGACGCGTACCTTACAGTGCCCAGAAGGCTAGGCCGTACAAGGAAACCAGAACGCATACCGAAATTTTACTGTTCAGGTAGCTTAACCAAGGCAATGTTGGACTGCAGGCTCCAGCCAATGATACAATCATACCAAAGTCTCCAATTATTTCATGGATGTGGTTGTTGGTGGAGTTCAGCTGGCTTCCTTCCCTCACTGTTTTCACGTAGGTTGGACCTGAAAAAGTTGTACAGTAAGTATCTCAAAGATACCTAC